GCGTCCGGAGCCTGTGCTCCGCAACGGGAGAGGCCGCGACAGTGAGAGGCCCACATATCGCAAAAAAAAAAAAAAAAAAAAAAAAAAGACTTCTCCAAAGACCTCACTACACTTTGGCTTACCTCCCCATGGGTAGGACGGGTCACATGGTCACATCTTTGCCACAAGCAGAATTAGGAAAAGAAGTCTTTAAGTCGGATATCAGTGTGCCCCGTTAAAAAAATTGTGGGTTCTTTCTCTACAGTCTCCTGCTGGCTGCTATGTGGCAGACAGACTGAAGAGAAGCAAGAGAGAGGCAAGGAACCCTTGGGAGGGGGCTCGGGGCAGCCAGAGAAAGACAGTGGTGGCTCGGACTCAGGGCTGTGCAGGAGGAGATGGGGAGAAGTGGACATTGGGAGGGAGGTGGCAAAATCAAGGATGACTCCTAGTCTTTGCGTCTGAGCAGTTGGGCCGATGCTTGTGGCGTGCACTGAGCTGGGGAAGACGGGAGAGAAACAGAAGGGCAGACAGAGAGGTGTCGCCAGCACAGGACCTTGCCCCACCCCCGCCTCCACCACACCTCGGTGACGAGATGGAGCTGGGAGGACAGCGCCAGGCCAGCTTTCCCCAAACCATGCACTGCATCCCACTGGAGTGGGAGTCCCAAGATTCCAGACCACACACAGGGGAGCATGAAGTGGCTTTGTGGAGGCCCATGGTTTCTAAACCACACCCTTGAGTGGCCTGGCTGAGGCATAGTGTGGCTCCAGGTGGGAGGGTGTCTCTCCCCCAGCAGGAAGTCTTGCCCTACCCACCCCTCAGGTCCCGAGTCCCTTCTCACAGATCAGGCAGGAACCTTGAAGGAGGGGTCCACAGGAGGAAGTCTGGGAAACTGGCCAGGTTTATCACAGTCATCCCACAGGTGGGAAAGCAGGCTGAGATTTCCTGAGGTCATGCAGGCACACAGGAGCAGCATCAGCACATAGGCCCTGACTCACAGGCCTGTTTTTAGCCCCAGGTGGAGGCACCAGCCCTGCTCACCCACCCCTGCATCCCTGAGTCACCGCCTACCTAAGGCACCCAGCGCCTCGGTCCCAGGGCCAGCTTTGCAGGTGGCTGCCCCCAGGGGAGGCTGCGGTGCTGAAGAAACTCATCTCCTAGATGGACGGGGATCCACGCTCTCCTGGTGGGCAGCCCTCCCTGTCAGCTGAGGGTGACTTTGGGAATCCGAGGGCTGAGGTCTTTGGGACACTAGTCCCTAGGGAGCTAGGTCCGGGCCAGCATCATGGGCATGGCCTGCTGGCCTCCAGGCCAGTTGTGGCTTCCTTCCCAGGGCAGGCAGGCAGAAGGGGACACAGTGCCAGCATTTTCCCATTGACCTTCTGTAGTAGACAGGCTCTGAGACATAAGTAGCTACTTAGCTGGACAGCTTGATTCCGGAAGTCTCCGAAGAAGGCTTTGGCCCCACATACCTTGGTGCAGAATGTTTTGTTGGCTACAAGTCTTCCAGGCGTTGACCTTGTCTCCTTCATGTCTCTCCCACCGCGAAGGACATCTGCAGATTTCCAGCACCTCCACTCGCTTCCTGAGCCGTGTGCGGCAGGCTGGGGAGCCTGGGTCTCTGGCTTACTTGGAGGGCGGCAGGGTTGAAAGGGCTCAAGAGTGGAGCAGTGGTCTAGTAATGATTACCGTGCCCTTGAGAAAAGGACCCTCTGTTGCTTCCCCTCTCCCTGACCAGGCCTAGGGCTGAGCCCTTGTTCTGGTGCCTTAGCAGGTGCCCAGCCGGGGCTTCTGTCCCCACCGAGGCCTCAAAGATGCCATCCATGTCTCCTCACAGGCCGATGCCAAGATGGTGTGTGATGTGGTGAGTCGAATGGAAGACACGGAGCCCTTCTCTCCAGAGCTGCTCTCTGCCATGATGCGACTCTGGGGCGACTCAGGGATCCAGGAGTGCTTCAACAGGTCCCGGGAGTATCAGCTCAACGACTCCGCCAAATAGTGAGTGTCCCAGGCAGGCGGGAGGCCGAGAGCGGGGCAGCAGTGCGGGCATGGAAGGGGCTGGGGCCAGTGGGGCAAGGAGGCGCCCTTGCTGAGGTGGGAACCGCTGTGAGGTGTTCTGCCTCGGGCGTCAGGAAGGAAGGAGAAAGGGCTTCTCCTCCTGCCCCCGGGATGAGAAGGAGGCCAGGGAGGTGGGGGGCACAAGCCGACAACAGGGCTCCCAGAGGCCCAGGGGCCGTCACCTGCTTGCTCTGGAGGGGGCCTGGCCCTCCAGAAGGAAGACTGTCAGTGTAGCAGCGTTTTTGCCCCCTGGAGAACCCTTGACCCCATAAGTACAAATCAAGGGCAACATAGACAGAAAATAACTTACATGGTGCCCTTTTGTCTTCGTTTTGAGAAAATAATACCCTTTCCATTACTCTATCTTTAAAATTAAAAATAAGGAATATGTAACCCATCAGATAAGTAAAATAAATAATCAAATATACACTTTAATACTGTGTTATAACTAACAAGGGGAAGAAAAGGACAGAGGAGAGAGAGGGGCCCGGTGGGGCAGGCGAGGAGATGGGGTGAAGCAGCTGAAAGCCAGAGGGGGCTGGAGGGGTAGGAGAGGGGAAGGTAGAGGGAGTGACGGGATCACAGGACTGCCTGCTGCAGCCTTGTCACTCCAGGCGTCTGGAAGTTTACATGCCCTTGGCCCCTAGGTCGGGGGCTCCAGGCCTCTGGGAATGATCTGTGGTGGTCGGGGACACGCCTTCTGTTTTGAAGACACTGTCACTGCACTCCACCTTTCAAGAAACGCACCCACTTTTACAGTCTCGTGTCCAGGTTTTCAGTGGGAGCCTCTGGGCTTAAACCCCACTATCTTAGGACACGTGTGCTCCGACACTGATCTGCTCAGCTTCCTCACCAGCACTTCTCATCTGGGGCCACTTTGCCCCCAGGAGGCATTGGCAATGTTTGGGGGCATCTTCGATGGTCCCGACTAGGGTGGTGCTACAGATGTCTAGTGAGGTAGAGGCCAGGGATGTTGCTGTCTTCCTACAGACACACTGTACAGTCCTCCATAGCAAAGAATTACCTGACCCAAAATGTCACTATCGCCAAGATTAAGAAACGCTGGTCTCCACGGTGCCGATGTAGTGGAGGCTAACGCCAAGAAAACGGCGCTCACTAATGGATGCTGGGACATTGCCATTGGCTGTGACGAGAGCTAACAAACCAGGGACTTGTCTTCCCATCTCTGCACACCTAGATTGTCCACGGGGCAGGTGCCTGGGTCCCGTGAGTCCCAGGTGGTAGCGACCCAGACCCCAGCCACTGATGAGCCCCCAGGACACCTTGGTGGACCAGGGGTGCAAGCCCAAAGGTTCAAGTCCACACCTCTCTCTGTACACTCAAGTCACAGACCTCAACCCAGGTCTCCCCCTCAACGCACAGCCATTCAAGCCTGGAGAGAGTCCCCCACTTCCTCTCTCCCTCCGTGCCTACTGCTCTGCCCAAGTCCAGGCCCTTCCCATCTCCCCACCACCCTCAGGGGCTCCTCAGGGCATCAAATCGTGACCCCCACTTAAATTGTTACCACTTAACTAATTATAATATGAACCCATGGCAAAAAAATTTTAAAACAGTACAGAGAGGTATAAAATTGATAGTGAATCCTCTTCCCAGGCCTGTTCCCCTCACACTGTTAACTATCTCCATTTACTTGTCCCAGTGATGTCCAGAAAAACCTGACCCTCCAACTATAAACAGTGTTTAATGACCTCCAGCTGTGAAAGCTGAGGGAGTCAGACCTTCCTTCCTTCCTTTGCTGTTTGTTCCCCACTTCCACCACCAGTTTTTTGCTAGTTTTACAGGATTATTTTTAGTTCTTCTGGTGGTTACCTTTATAACTTGAAATGGACGACTTGAGTCAGTACTTGTCAACTCCCCCCAGCTAAGCTGAGGAGACCCGCCCTCCTCTCTCTGTCGTCTCTGGGACGGGGCTCCAAGGAGGGCAAGGGCGGGACCCACAGGCAGTCAGGTTCGGAAGGACCTTAAATACTTTCTGGTCCAGGGTTGCTTTGCTGTTGTAGTTTCAGCTGCTAAATCTTGTCTTCTGACAAGAGCTGAGGCCCAAAATGTGAACCACTTCAACGTAGATTTGTTGTGACAGAAAGGAGAGGCCCAGTAGGGCTGTTGCCTGGCACAGCTCCAGGGGGCACCATTCACATCCTAGACTGTGTGAGTGTCTCTCCAAGGCCCAGAGCCTCAGTCACCACATGTCCCCTTCCAGCCCTGGGGAGCTGGCCCGTCCTCTCATGTTACCAATGAGGCTCCAGGGTTCTCGGGGAGACAGGGCTCCCAGGTCTGTCTGTGTCATGCGCCGGGGGCGGGTGAACACGGCTGGCCCTCCCCTTTCCCTTCTGAATGATGGCTCTGAGACAGGTCCTGGAAACCCAGAAACCTGAGCACATCCCAGCAGGGGCTGTAAAACGTAGTTCTGTGGTTTGGTAGGATTATTTTTTCCCAGACTGAGGTCCCCACTAAAGGTCAGCGCTGTCTGGCAAAGCGTCCTCTCCTTCCCTCCTCTCGGGTCTCCCTGCCCCCCTCCCCATCTGCTCTCCTTAAGCCGCAGAGCTATCATTCCAACGCTCTTCTGGTCAGAGCCTTCCAGAGTGAAATTCCAAGTCCTTACAGTGACCTCAGGGGCCTACGTGCTGTGTCCCCCTCACCTCCATCAACCCTCCAGTCTCACCACTACCTGCGCCTCCCCTGTGTTCAGCCTCCCCACCACCTCCCTTCCAGCGCCTGCAGCCTGGGCTCCTCCTCCACTGAGGTCGTGGCCCCTGTGCCCCATGGTCCTGCTGCTGGGGCATGAGAGGCTCATCCCCTCACCTCCTCAGTCTCCACTCGAATGTCATCCCGCTCGACAAGCCTTCCCCAGCCACCTGATATCAAATAGCCGTCCCCAGCCAGCCTCCCCACTTACTGATAGCCTGATTCTTTTCTCCTGGCACTTATCACCTCCTGACATGTTGTACAGCTTACTCATCTGTTATTTACCTCTCTCACACACACACACACACACACACACAGGAACACACACACGCACAGGAACACAGGCTCCGGGGAACCCAGGACAGTCAGCAGACAGTACACACAGCAGGTGCACAGTCCACTGTGCTCACCCTACCCCCCCCCCACCCCCCCGCCATGGCCTCCTCCCTGCGTGAGGCTCAGCCAGCACCGAGAGACAGAGGGCCAGTTGTCTGTCTAAAGGAGGGTTCCCCAGCTGGGATGGGGGCCAAGACTAGAGGCTCCCAGCCCTGGTCTCCAGCTGGAGACGACAGGAGGAGGCTCGATTTGAAACCAACACAGCTTCTAAGCAGAGGCAGTGGGAGCGTGGGGAGGGGCGTGCACAGAGAGTTTGGGAGGATTGGGAAGGGCGGGGAGGGGCCCTCCAGGCTGAGATCAGAGACTGCCCAGATGCCCACAGGCCTGGAGAGGAGGCTCTGCAGCAGCCAGAGCTTTCAGGTCTGCTCTGCTGCCTCTGCCTCTCTCCTTCCACAGGGGAGAGGAGGCCTGCAGGCCAGTTTAAGAGCACGGGCTTTGGAGTCAGGCAGACCCGCGCTCGAGTCCCAGCAGTGTCCTCTTTCTAAGAGTGTGGCTTCAAGCTTGCCTTTCCTGAGCCTGGGAACACACCGTCAGCTTTATTTCCTTAGGGAGAACTCTCACAAGGATTTGAGGCAGCCTGGGTTATTGGTTTACCAAGGGACACCCTCCTCGGTGAAGGCGTCTACCCTTCCCAGCCCTGTGGACATCCACAAGCTGGGGAGCCAGCCCCCCAGTGGGTCCCAGGGCAGGTGCCGATAAAGCACAGCCCCTCCACGCGCAGCCTGGGACCCCACGTCATGCCATGACTCAGGCCCTCAGGGCTGCTTCCCGTGGGCTGTGTGTGGGGCTCTCCCCGCACAGGGATGGGTAGCCCAGCTGGCCCTGTGGGTCCTTGAATCTTCCTGCCAGCCTGACCGAGCTCCCCGCTTCCTGGTTTCCTGGATCCCAACCTGGCTTGGGGTTCAAACCTAGCCCATACCGACCCCTAAAGCCCTTCCCAGTGCGTGGCGTGGGCGGACGAAGTGCAGAGGCCTGGTCTGTCTACAGAGCAAGTGGTGGTGTGGGAGGGGCTCTGAGGCCAAAGACCTGGGTCCCAGCAAGGCCCCGCCCCTGCTTGGCTGTGTGACCTCTGAGCCTCCCAGGAGCACCATATGGGACGATATGATGGCCCCCTTGATAAACCCTAAGGAGCATGGAAGAGGCAGGCGGAGGTTCAGAGGGCCTCTGGGAAGCACCATAGGGAACTGTTAAAGAGGTGGAATCCCAATCCCTGGCTCACAGCTGGGCGAGGCACTCACCTTCATTAGAAAACCTAAATTTTCTAATCTGTGAAGTAGTACATCTAACTCAGGAAATTCAGGATGAAACATGATGATGCATATAAAGACTAGAACCTAACTGTTGCCCATTATTAAGATGAAGAAACGACAAACACTATTATTATAAACATGTTATTCTCATTTAAAGATTCGGCCTTGTCTGAGTGTGCCTGGAGCCGTGCGCGTAGCCCTCGGTCTGAGTCAGAGGCTCTGAGCGCATGTGGCCGGGACGTGAGCTTCTCTTTCTCAGCTGCCCCCCACCCCCCACCTGGCCCTGGATGGGGTGGTGCCATCATTCCACAGCCCCGGTCAGGACTGGCTCTCGGGGAAGGCGGTGCCCAGCACCTGGTCTATGGTCCCCTGTGTGTTGCCATCCCCAGCTACCTGGACAGCCTGGATCGGATCGGGGCTGCCGACTACCAGCCCACTGAGCAGGACATCCTCCGAACCAGGGTCAAAACCACTGGCATCGTAGAAACCCACTTCACATTCAAGAACCTCCACTTCAGGTGAGGCCCAGGGAGGCTCCCGAGCCCTGGCGAGGCTGCCAAGAGATGGGTAAAGCCTGCTTCTCGGCCTCGCCTCGTCTGGAGCACCCAGATGTCGCCCTGCCTCGGGGAGCGTTCGAGTTGGGACAGGCAGTTAGATACGAGAAGGGGCCTGTCTGTGTACCTCTCTTGCACCACGTTCGGGGGCTGGGGTGAGCGGGGAGGCTTCCTGGAAGAGGGGTCCTGGAGTGGGGCTCTGAGGAACAGGGAAGATTTAAGCAGGCAAAGGAGGGGAGTCCTGTCCCTGAGTGATTTCTGAGGAGGAGGCCACCTTGTGAGAGGGGTGGAGAGTAAGGTGGGTAAACCCAAGCGACATGTGTGCAACCCCAGGGCCCATGTCATCTCAGAGCTGAAGAGGGTTTGGAGATCAGCTGACCCACCCTCTCCGGGTACACTTGGGGAAACTGAGGCCTGGGAGGAGTAAGGCTGTTCCCAAGCACAGAACACAGCTCAAGTCCAGGGGTCTGAGTGCCTCAGAACAGGCCCTGCTGGAGGGTTGTGGCGCCACCTGGGGCAGCCTCCAGGCACTGAGGCCTGGGAGCCCCTGTCCTGCCCCTACCTGCCTCCATGTGTGGTTTCCAGGTGTCAGGTAGAACAGGAGGAATGGCCTGTGTAAGGCCGCTTCTTGGCCCCCTGCCCGCCCTGGGAGGGCTGGACTCCAGGACCGCTGGCCAGCCCACGGCCCAGCCCCTGCCCACTCCCACTGAGACAGAGAGTGTTGAAGTTCTGTCTCTATCTCCGCAGGGCCGCACGAGCCTCACTGGGCACATGGGCCTCTAGGCCTCTCCTGAACCTGGGGAGTGCAGTGATGGGCACGGAGGCCCCACAAGGTGCCTCTTGCCCCCTACTCTCTCCAGTCTCTCCCCCCTCAGCCCTCGGGGGCAGAGGGTGCGGGGCTGGGCTCGGGGCTGCCCAGCCTGCAGAGTCTGACCATAAGAGCTGTGAAGGGGTCGCAGAGACCATCAGCCTGTGCCCAGCATTTCAGATGGGGAAGCAGGATCCAAGGGAGGCGGTGATGGGACGAGTACAAGGCCTGTTTCCTTGTTCCAGGCCCACTCTGGGCTCTGCCTGCGGTTACTTTCCTCTGTTGGAAGGTCAGGGCCCAGCCCACCCTGGCAGCTGTGTGCCAGCAGACCTCCTGGGCCTAGGAGGCAGTGGACCTTCATTCAGGGCATTAGGTGTGAGGTTGACCTCTTCCTTCCAGGAACCAAGCCGCACCTGCCACAGTCAACCCCCATGGCCCTCCTGCCCCCTGGGGGATGGTGTCTGAGGGGGGAGAGGGACGGGAGGCACAGAGCAGAGGCTTTGTCTGCAGACAGACCTGGGTCTCACCCCACCTCTACCACACCAACTCTTGCCGGGACCCTGGGCACTTAACCCCTTGGTGCCTCACTGTCCCTTCACGTAGCAGGTGACGATCCCTGCCTCCCTCCCTCCCTCCTGGGCTGCTCTGGAGTTTTCACAGCCCACAGACATGAACAGACATGCTCAGAAAGCCAGGGGAAGGATGTGCGTGTTACCCTGAGAGGAGGACCTCGCAGAGGTGCTTCTCGGGAACCTTGCAGAGGCATTAGTAAAAGTCCTGAGATGGAAGGGCAGGTCTTCGAGTCTCTGGGAGCACAGCCCAGTCATGGGGCAGAAGCAGTGACGGCCACCCTGCCCCAGGGACGCGGCAGTCGGCCCTGAGCACCCAGAGTGAGGCTCCTTGGGAGGCTCGTTGCATGTACAGCCCCTTCCCCCCGCCGCCGCCTGCTTGACCAGTGTCCACACACCGGCCGGGGCCCCACTGCCCACCACGTCCAGCTTCCCTGTCTCCCCTGCAGGCTGTTCGACGTTGGGGGCCAACGATCTGAACGCAAGAAGTGGATTCACTGCTTCGAGGACGTCACGGCCATCATCTTCTGCGTCGCGCTCAGCGGCTATGACCAGGTGCTCCACGAAGACGAGACCACGGTGAGTGGCCCTGGGCCACCTGGCCTCAGTGGACCAAGGCGGCTCTCAGGTGGGGCTGGCTGCGGTGGCCGGGGGTTCCGTTGTCGGCCAGGCCGTGCCCGGGCTCCCTCTTCTGACTTCGTTGCGGGGCAAACGCTTCGTGATGCCGACGCAGCAAAGGCAGCCACAGGCCGCCCTGCTCAGAGAGTGCATGCAGACTAGTGACAGACGTCTCTGTGGGCTCTGGGTCTCGGGCAGTACGTGCCTCTTTCATAAATTCAGCAGAGTCACAGAGGCCGTCAGGCCAGAACCAAATTAAGCAAATCCTAAACGAAATCAGGGTGCAGTCAAGCAAGAATGTACGTTAAGACAGAAATAGCAGTTCTTAGCCCTCACGGCCCTCCCTGAGCAGTGGACGGGGCTGGCAGCCGGAAGGGCAATGGGACATGGCATGTAGGCGAGTGACAGCGGTGGCGCGGGCCGCTCCCCTGGAGGACGCCAGCCCAGGTTCCCGCCTCCCGTCAATGCGTCTTCAGTCTGGGGCCTCAGAGAACTGCCAGGCTGGCTTCAGCGGGGGGCCCTCACCTGGAGAGGGCGTGGCCTTTCTCTGGGCCTGGGCTGGGCCTGGGACTGGTTTGCTGCTGAATTCAGGCAGCACCCTCTCTGCCTCGGTTACTGTCTGCTGTCAAAGGGGTGTAACCATAGTACCTGCCTGGTGGGGCCTTGGCAATGGAGTGAGAATCCGCGAGAAGTACTTGGAACCGTTTCTGGCACAGCAGCGCCGAGCTGGTGGTTGTATTATCACCGGGGATTGTGCTGAGCTGGGGGTCCACTGAGCTGCCCGTGGAGAGGTGGGCCTGCTGCAGAGCCTGCAGGGAAAGCCGAGCACTGGCCCGGCACACCACGGGTTCTCCGGAGACAAGCACCTGCCGTGGTAGGGCTCCTGGGCTGTGGGGTCACAACTTTGGCAATCATTAGCTCCTGCTGTGTGAAGCAGGCACAGAGCCCTGGCACTGAGGGTTTGGGGCTGGGCTCGTCACGGTGGGCCTTGAGCAAGGCCTGTCTTCTCTCTGGGCTTGTCTCCTCATCAGTCCTGCCTGCTGATCCCTCAGGACTGCTGCGAACATCTGCTGAGCTTTGGGGTGCAGTGCTGTGGGGAGGAGGAGCCGCCGTCCTGCGGGACTTATGCAGCAATGAGGCCGTGGGAAGATTGGGGCCAGGGCCACTGGCTGGGTGGGTGATCCGGACTCGCGCCACGTGCTGGCTTCTCCCCCTTGCCCTTTCTCCTTCAGTCCCAGGTACACTCCTGAGTTAGGCATCAGCAAAGCCCCCGAAGCCCTGCCTTGTTCCAGGGCGAGTCTCTGGGGCCCCAGCTGTGCAGCTCTTTCTGGTAACGCCGTAATCATTCTCAGTGGCCTCAGCTGGCTGTGGCGTCTAAGATCACCAGACCTGGACCCACTGACCACCCCAAAGCCCCAAAGGTCGGTTCCTGCTGCCCCCACAAGGCACCCGCGTGCAGGGACTGCCCTGGCACATCTCTCACTGGTCCGTTGTTGACTCTCCTTTTGGACGCACTGTTCACAGTCCACTTGGCCACTCATGTGGTCTGAGATCCAGGTGGCTCATCTTTTCTTCCTGCAGCGCCTAGGAGTGGGAAGCAGAGCTGGTGCAGTGAGCAAAAAGCTGATCCTGCCGTGGGTTTCAAAGAAACTGAAGCGCTGGTGTAGAGGGCCCCAGGCCTCTCCCTGGGGACCCACTCAGCTCAATCCCAAGTCCCAGCCCATCAGCCCTGGGGCAGGGGCTCGCACTCACCTCTGGAGCACAAGGCAGAGCAGAGGGACGTCTGGGCGTGTCTGGCAGCCACGGGGTCCCAAGCTCCATGGCCTTCGGGCCTCCAGTAAACACGGGCGGGTGCCAAGCCTCACCCTCTGGCCTCTCTGGTCTGCTCGCCCAGGCAGCCCTCGCTCCGGAGCAGGGCCCGTCCTGGGGCACCTTCCTTCTCGCCTTCCTGCCTTTACTGTCTGTCTCCCACCTCCCTCCTTCTCCCCCATTTCCCCGCCCTTCTTCGCAAGGGCTGGAGCAGAGGACCTTGGGGAAGCAGTGGCACGGGGGGGCCACAGCCAGGAGCAGGCTCTTCCTGGGGCTCTGTCCTCCCAGGAAAGACCAGCAGCCTCTCCAGGGCATGGGAGTTGGCTTTACCATTTAACGGGAGCCCACAAAGGCGGCTCATTGCCACGGTGACGGCAAGGACAGCGCCGCAGAGCTGAGCAAAACGCCTGTGTGTCCAGGGCCAGGTGGCAGCGTGGGGCAGCTGGGGGTCCGGGCAGATGTGGCCTGCGGTCTAGCCCCGCCCCCTCCCGCCGGTGAGTGTGGCAGCTGCTCCACCTGCTCCTCTGTAAAATGGAGCCCGTGGCAGAGCAGCCTCTGGGCGGCTGTGAGGCCCAGCGGGCTCGGAGCTGCAAGAGTGCCTGCCCTCAGGACTCTCCACTCAGCAGACAGCAGCTGTGGGATGGCTCTGTCCAGGCACACGACTCTAGGACAAGCTATGGGACGAGGACGCTCTGCCCCCGTGAGGCAAGAGCTCCACCCTGCTGACCAGTCCTTGGTCCTCCACCTTCCTCTCCGGTCGGCCCTGCCCCTCCCTCCCAAGCCTGGGGTAAAAATTGGGACTGCCTGAGAGAAAGGTGTCTGGAGGCTCCTGGAGCTCAGCCAGGACCCCTGGGGCTAGTGGCTGCCCGCCCACCGGCCGGCCACCCTTCCCGCTGCGGCCCAGACCCCAGCGGCCCTGGGCCTCACCTGCCACAACTTCTCAGCGCCAGTGCCGTCACCGCCACCTGCAGGGCCTTAACTTGCCAAACCAAGGCCAAAACCATGAGCAGATTCTGAGAGACCCTCCAAGTCGGGCAGGTATGAAGTGCCTCCTTCCAGTTGATACCATCAGCTAAGAGTTGAAAGCAGCAGGTTCCCAGGGTACCGCCGGGTGACTTTGCTGTGAAGCCTGCCCCCCACTCCCGCGTTCCACACTCCTCACCAGCCACTCGGCTTAGGGTGGTCCTCCCCACCCTCTCCTTCCATCTCCAGCCACGCAGTCCACAGCCCCAGGGTGGCCGTGGCCTCCAGAGCCTGCATGGGGGCCTCCGGAGGGACCGGCTTTTACTTCCTGGCCCGAGACCGGTTGAACCAATTTTGTTTTTTGCTTTTTTTTTTCTCTTTCTTTCTTTCATGTTTTCTGCTGGGTTTTTATCTTCCTCTCTGTTTTCATCTGTTTTGCTGGCTTTCATCTTGGGGTTCTTGTGACCCCTCTAACCGGGAAACCAGCCTCAATAAGCAGCTCACCCAGAGCCGCCCCACGGCCCAGCCAACCCACCCAGTCTCCAACCACACCAAGGCCACAGCAAGATCACTCCCCTGACGCTGTCCCCCTGGTGTCTGCTTCCAACTCTGGATTAATTCGAGGATCTCTTGGTCCTCGGTTAATGTTTCCCAACTGAATGCGTGCACCCTCCCAACCCTGCTGGCGAAACCAAATGAGACCCCAGTAGAGAAATCTGCATGCCCGAGGTCCCGTGTGGACGTGTGGATGGTGGCGCGGCCCCTGCCCCCGCGTGCATGGTGCATGTCCTCTCCATGGTCTAGAGTCCCTCTGGTGACCCCACTGCCCTGGCCCGGGTCAGCCCTCTTCAGTGGGGGGGCGGCGTTCCCCACGCTGTGCCCTGCTCCACCCCCGCACCTGCGTGTGGAATGCAGCAGGGACCATGTCCTTGTCCTTGTGGATCCTCCTGTCTCCGTCCCTGGTGGTGCATTCAGCCGTGTTGGTGGACCTTCCCTTCGCTTGTCCCGCTTTGTCACTGGCTGCGGTGGGTCAGGGCCCTGGGCACCGCCAGCCCTCACTTGCCTCTCCACTCTGTTGCAGAACCGCATGCACGAATCGCTGAAGCTCTTCGACAGCATCTGCAACAACAAGTGGTTCACGGACACGTCCATCATCCTGTTTCTTAACAAGAAGGACATATTCGAAGAGAAGATCAAGAAATCCCCGCTCACCATCTGCTTTCCTGAGTACACAGGTAGAGACTGCCACTCCCCACAGGGACCGCGGGGGCCACGCAGCCGCTCGGGCCACACCAGCTCCTGAGGGAGCTCAGTCCCCCTTCACCATGCTCTGCGGACACACCAGATTCTGCCCTGGAGAATCCAACACAAAACCGGAGGCGGGTCCCCTCCCTTCCCCACAACATGCTGTTGCGAGGGGGTGGGGCAGCCAACTGGGGCATCCTGGTCAGGGGAAGCAGGGCTGGAATCCCGGCTCTGCCACTTACGAGCTGTGTGATCTCGGCAACCTCTGGACATCAGCTTGGTCATCTGTAAATAGAGCTTATCAGTAAAATGGCAATACCAAGATGATGATGGGGTTGAAGATCGGGGCTTCACGTCAGACAGCCCAAGGTTCGTGCCCCCACTCTGCCACTCACAGCAGGTTACATAACCTCTTGGAGCCTCTGTTTCTGTGTCTGTGAGATGGGAACAATCACTGTGATTATCCACCCTCCCTCCCAGAGTTGCCAGAGGATAAAGTGAGCTAAGAAGCATGGAGGGCTTAGCATGGCAGTTGTTGCATAGTAAGTGCTCACTAAACATTCGCTATTGCTCTTATGACTGTGATACTAAAAAGTATCGTGACAGCACCCCCATTCAAATGGCCTATTCAACATGAGAGAGCTTCACGAGCAGCAGAGACCAGGGCCGTCCTGCGGAGGGTGCTGAGGATGCCGGAGGCCACCTCTGTTAATGTTGCCATGGGTTTACCTGACTGTGGGTGGGTGGGCAGCCTGGCCAGGGCCCTCATGGAGCAGCAGGGTGCCTGGAATAGCCCACGGGCTCACTGGCTCTTCAGGATGGCCAGAGCCTGGTCAGAGAGGCGAATGGAAGCAAAAGCGGGCATCCCCATCCTGACCAGCCCCCCGGCCTGGAGAGCACAAGGGTAGACAGGGTCCCAACAAGGTGGGCCTGCTAGGTAAGCC